AGTGGCGTATCTATGACGTCTAAAAATCTTGTAGGTGTGACGTACTAATTTGGTGAGCTTCGTCATTTAGGAAATTTTTCAATAATTTACTTTTCAGATTTTTTTGGGTGACGAAGAATGCATCAACATACATCATTCAACAAAGTGAAGCCAAATTCGCCAACATCCTTTTCATTGCTATCAAACTATTCTTTGTTTGCTTACATCTCGCCGACACAAACTACATAATTTTTGATACAAATACGAGTGACTGATTGTATTCTGATGGATATGCGTACTGAAGGATGGCGATGCCTAATAGGCGATTGAATGAACATGACACAGGAGGGACCCACCAAGCAGACTCAACAATGCATAATCAATATTATATAATGTCATCAGAGGCTAGTAGTGTTAATCACACCATGTTAAAGGAATCTTTTTTAGGTATCATCGCCAAATTCAATCGTCATTTTGACGTCATTATGACGTCAGTCGGACGTCACAGTGAGTGAATGACGTCAATACGACGTGAGTAATATGACGTCATTGGGCTGTGACTTATTCACGTCACTATCACGTCAATGTGACGTCAACTACTGACGTCACCTTGGTAATTCAAGTGACGTAAAAAAGACGTCACTGGAACGTCATCTGGTTGTACTGTGGTTCCTGTCCTGAGGACTGTTTTGTTCAGACAGGTAGACACGTTCAGCCACCGCATCATATGAGTTCTTCAAAATTGGAAACAACTTCAAAATTTCCTCATACATATTGGAGCAAAATTATTCTGATATAAACATTTTTTGTTCGTTAGAAAACTCAGATGTCTGAGCTCTGGGACACTCTGTGTAATAATTTGGTACTCAACTATAGAATTAGGTATCATCGATTCTTTCACCTTCTAGTAGAGTGCCAATCGAATCCTATCGTTCACCCCGTGGGAAATCGGAGGTAAAAAGCTGTGACATGGTTAGAATTGTTACCTACCACCCCCAGATCATGGATCCACTTGTCGTCAAAAAATCGTCCTGTGCGTTTGGGGGGTAGGGGGTAATTTATAAAAAAATATGGATTTTTTTTTATTCGTGGAAAATATTTATCGGTTTCAGAACTTCCACCCTGTTGAATCTTGATTTCGTGTGACAAGTAGAACGAATTATAGAAAATTTTGAAATTTACTAATTACATTACGATATACGAGAGAATCATATTTCAAACGCCTATAACTCAAAACTTGTAAATTCTCGTTAAATTGTTTTTCATATACCTCGCATTATCTCAGTAACTACAACGTTTATCAAAAAAATACTTCGAATAATGTCGATGCGCCTATGTTTAAAGATGCGAATGGTTCTTCGGTTTTGAAAATCGAAGCATAAATAAGGAAGATATTAAGAAAATCATAATGCAATGCAGGTACCACGGACGATCGCGTTTCGCCGCAATCGTACCCCTATTCTCCCCGCAATACCCGCGGCTATCATGGTTCCATACGCTTTCGTTATACACATCAACATTGAGGCGTTGACCATTGCATTTAATGGTGACTTATTGTGAATTAATTATTCGATATTTGGTACTGTGTGCTCTGTTTCAATAATTAAATAAGTATTGATTAGTTAACGAAATCTATTATTGTAAATTTACCATAAGATATAATATGTTTCCCTAGATAAAAGATGGAAAGAACTAGCAATTCAGACACTGATCTTGAATATGTCTTGAAGTTGAAGATTCCTTTCCAGCAGTACAGAATCATCGAGAAAATGTTTAATTTGTGGAAAAGATGGTCAACTCCTTCGTTGTACAAAATTATCGATAAAAACATTTGAAAGTTGTATGAATATAAGAAAAAACCTCGGAAAAAACTATATGCGAGGCAAATCGATATGAAACTCCAGAGAATTGATGATATTTTCAATGAAAATAAAGGTCGATTAATCTCCTGGCACAGGAATATTGAAAACCCCAGACAGCACTGGATATTCATAGAATATTCTCTAAATATGCTAAAAAGGAGGAGTATATTCCGAATATTCATCGATTATTCCTAGAATATATACATGCCTCAGGAACATCTAAAAGGAATATTCCAAAGTGAATAGTCGGACATGTTCAGGGAATATTCAGGTATGAATCTTCCAGGAATATTCCCAACTGAATATTCTCTGTTGTATATTCATGAAATATACTCAACTGAATATTCTGTGCGGTATATTCATGAAATATACCCAACTGAATATTCTGTGCGGTATATTCATGAAATATTCTCAACTGAATATTCTGTGGTGTATATTTATGAAATATTCCATGAATATTCCTATGTTTCTCAACACATGAATACCATTTATTATTTCAGAGATGTAAGTATCGAACATCAATTTGATGTAAGAGGATTTTGAAACAAAAAGTGTTTATGATCCGATTTCGAACAATGCTCTCATAAGAACTTGATATGTATAACATTATTCAATTCGATTACTGGCCTAGTGGTCAAGGCGTTGCTCTGATAGTCGTGAGGTCACGAGTTCGATCCCTACTTGGGTCACTTTTTTTTATTTCAGAATATGTTTATTGGAATATTCGAGGAACATTCAACATAGAATATTCTTTTGGGTATATTCTATGATTATCTGAGGAATTCCCATTCGCATATTTAGAGAATATTCCACAGATATTCCGGAATATTCCAGATTATTTCTAGAATATTCCAATATTCCAAAAGGAATATGATAGGGAGATTCATGGAATATCTGGTGCTGTCTGGGACTGGAGACAATAATGTCAGGAATAAAACGCTTTCTATAGTGATATTGATGTGAAGGTATTTTTGATGTGTCTAAAAGAATTTTCTACCAAAAACGTTCAAATATGAGTCAAGTTTTGACCTAGTATGGACTACCAACATTGTTAATTGCCATGGAAGTCAAGTATAATAACCAATGCTTTGTATCGAATTGGAAACATTATTGAGGATCACTGAGTGAGGATAAATAAGTTGTCAAACCACACATGAGAAAGAATTTGATAATCTGATAAAATTAATAGATGGTGCAGATTTTCTAATGAAAAAGGGTATACTTTCTACTGTTTATATCAAAAATATGCCGAACTTGGTGGCAAAACTGGTAGGAATATCTCAATCGGAGATTACTGTCTGTAGGTTAATCGAGAAAGTGAAACATTCATTTTACTTGATTTTTTGGGATTTTCTCTCCTCGTTTCTTTGGACGGTTCGGAAACGAATCTGCTCTCGTTCTCAACATGGAAATGCAACTTCCGAAGAAAAATGTTTTGCATTTTTATGCTGGGAACGGGAGCAGATTCGTTCCCGAAACGTCCAGAGGAACGAGGAGAGAAAATCTAGAAAAATCAAGTAAAACGAATTTATCGAAGAAATCAGAAAGCACTTCGACAAGGAAATAGAAATTATCAAATGAATCAAAACGTTTTAATGAGTCGTAATTTGTGATTCCAAAAGTGACAAAAACTCATCTGATTCATACACATATAAAGAACGTGAAATTACAGAAGATAACTCCCCTGACTTTGTATATGCATCAGATATTATGACCCAGATACACAAATTGAAATTTTTTTGAGATATTTATCAAGATATGAGAGATATTCCAGATTATAAAAAACTGAAAAATATGGATGTCAAGGCTTACAAGGATATGATACCAAAAAAACTTTTTTTAAATTAGTTGCCTTATACACGATAAAGTTGATTCAGTTGATTATGGTTGATTCAAAGGTGTTCAGTATCTGATGTCAAGGTATAGGTAATACTTGCTAATTCGAAATTCAAAAAACTCACACCGAAACACGTTGGTTTGGGAATGATGATTCATCAAGAGACATGATGGAAAAAAATTATCGTAGCTTTGTGTTCTTGTGGACACTGTATCGTATTCACGTGTATATATACAACTTCGCAATTCGATAGGTATCAAATAATGTTGTTTTTCAAGTTTCCACAAGGATATCTTATTTTCATTTCAATATTATATGCATCATGTTTTGTTTCAATATTTGTCAATTTGTTAATAAATGAGATGGTTGACATTTTACTCTGATGGATAATAAATGTACTTTCGAGCTAGAATCATTCATAAAATAAATGGAGGGCACTTCCAATCAAACAGCAAGTTGAAATAAATTTCTGTTAACTTGGAAAATAGAAAATGGCGATCAATTCCATTTCTCCCGTGAATTCCATATTCATATTTATGGTGATCGTACTAGGACGGCTGCGGGCGTTGCGGGGAGAATCGGGGTATGAAAGCGGCGAGTCGCCGTCCTTCGTACTACCTGCATTGGATTATGATTTTCCCAATATCTTCTTTATTTATGCTTCGATTTTCAAAATCGAAAAACCATTCGCATCTTGAAACATAGGCGCATCGACATTATTTAGAGTATTTTTTCGATAAACGTTATAGTTACTGAGATAATGCGAGGTATATGAAAAGCAATTTAACGAAAATTTACAAGTTTCGAGTTATAGCCGTTTGAAATATGATTTTCTCATATATCCTAATGTAATTGGTGAATTTCAAAATTTTCTATAATTTGTTCTACTTGTCACACGAAATCAAGATTCGACAGGGTGGAAGTTCTGTAACCCATCAATATTTTCCACGAATAAAAAAAAATCCATATTTTTTTATAAATTACCCCCTACCCCCCAAACGCACAGGACGATTTTTTGACGACAAGTGGATCCATGATCTGGAGATGGTAGGTAACAATTCTAGCCATGTCACAGCTTTTTACCTCCGATTTCCCACCAACTTTTGATCTAAGCGACTTACGGTTCGTTTGGCACTCTACTATTCTGAAATGAATATATATATCTTGGTATAAGTAGTGCGTATACAACTAAACCTTCATAATAGCCTGATACAGATTAAGTCTCAATAATATATGTGAAAGTATCTTATGTTTTGCCCTGCCTTGTGTTGCATATCGAACAAGAATTCTTTTGCTGTCTGCAGTGGGGTGTGGCTATAAATGTTATTTTGCACAAATCATTACCATATGGGTGACTTGGTTTTGTGAGTGATATTTTCGAAAGAGATTACTTTGTGTCGTGTATGTTTGTTCGCATGTGCTGAATCGAATCGAAAAATGAGGATGATACGAGAATTGGCGTGTGCTCTTATTTTGGTGAGTGGTTCGCTTGCAATAGTGAGAATCATGGTCAGGAAAACATCAGGCGAGAAATTAGTGAAATTACATGATAAATAAAATAATTAGTTGATGCTCCGTTGAATACTGTCTGTAGGAGGTGAAATGATATTTTCTCTAGATTTTTTGGGTTTTCCCTCCCCGTCTCTGTAGCTACATACAGGGTGTTTCAGATTGTGATCAGGAAGTTTTCTTAGACGATAGAACTCGTTGAAATGAGAAGGAAAGTTCATTCAAGCTTGTATGTTTTGAAGTTTCGTTTTCGAAATACGAGGTGTTGAACAACAGGTTTGTTTATAATATTCATTTATTTATTTTTTGAAGTAAATAAAGTCACCATGATTATTCAACACACTAAATGAACCACTCATAATTTGACTCTATTTCGAAGACCTGTATTTTTTTAAAAAATTGACCGATCTTCATGCGGTTTTCGATATCAGATGTGATGTTTCATCGGCGTCAAAGAAAACTAAAACACTCTGAAAAATTCCGCAGAACAAAAATCACACAGGGTGTGAAGTGGAACCATTACACTATGGTCTACATTTCCAATGCTGCCAGAACTCGAGGAATTTTTTTCTGATCAAAAGACAGTCATATTATGATACACTGGGACCTCATCTCGGGACATTTTCGTGATTTCCTCTTAATTGGCCATTAGAACAAAAATTAGTTTTTTTTTCGAAAGTCTTGCATTTCTTGAACTTTTTCTCTAGAACTCCACTTGAGCTGACTATTGGGAAGAACTGTTCTCATGTTTTGTGGAGGACAATGAGAGACGAAAAAAGAACTATTGTGGAAAATACAGGATGATAAGAAAATAGGACAAAATCTCATTTCAGTAAAAAAAATAAAAAACGGTGACTAAAACCATGGCCCATTCGATTTAGTGTATTCAGAAATGGCCTTCTCGATATCCATTATTTATATTAATTGTTGTTTAATAAACTGAGTGTTCCACAACATATCTGACAAATCGCGAACTCTAGAAAACAATAATGTTAGAAGAATGTGGTGACCAGCGTTATCTCCAGACCTGAATTTGATTGAACATGTGTGGAGCCGAATGAAACTTGACCTATTGAGAAGGCGAGAGGCACCCCAAAATAATGACAACCTTATCCAAGCTGTATCAGAAGAATGGGAGACAATATGAATAGACTTTATCAACAACCTCATAGAATCTATGCCAAACCGATTTCATGAGATTTTGTTGAATCAGGGAGGCCCTACCAAGTACTGAAATTTAGGATATAGGAATTTCTAGTTGAATCTTCATAATGCTGAAGAATTCACTAATGTCATATTTTGCCAATAGAGCCCATTTCGAATAGTTTTAGTGGATATAAAGTGTTATAAATTTTATTTTCCATCTCGTTTTACTTTTATAAAATTTTTATGTGATAGACTTATTCTTATGTAATATCGTAGTTGTGGTTGAAATTTGTCAGATAAGTTGTGAAACACTCAGTATATTGAACAACAATACTCTGTGTCTCATACTTGAGCAATAAATATTGGAAATCAGTTGATAAGAATCATCGATATCAGGAAACAAGTTTGAATTGAGAATTTTCAACATGTATTTCAATTAGAGGTGAATTTTCGAAAACGTCTCGGGTTAATAGTCTAATATAAATAATGGATATCGAGAAGGCCATTTCTGAATATACTGAATCCTCGACTGAATCGAATGGGCCATGGTTTCAGTCACCGTTTTTGATATTTTTTACTGAAATGAGATTTTGTCCTATTGTCTTATCATCCTGTGGTGCTATTTTTGTCTTTCATTGTCCTCCACAAAATATGAGAACAGGTCTTCCCAATATTCAGCTCAAGTGGAGTTCTAGAGACAAAATTCAAGAAATGCAAGACTTTCGAAAAAAACATCAAATTTTTGTTCCAATGGCCAATTAAGGAGAAATCACAAAAACGTCTCGAGATGAGATCTCAGTGTATCATAATATGACATTTAGTGTGTTGAGAACTGTATATGCTATGTTTTTTTGTGCTCCATCATTTTTCCCCTGACTCATATTTTTATTCGATTCAACAATAGAGAGTTTTCTTGTATCTCGCTTAGTTATCAAGAAAACAAAATGAATACCTGATAATAATCCGAATTCAAATGTGGGTTCATTCAAGATATCCATGGAGATTACTTGTAAGCCATAATAAGTATATTTTTTCACCAAATGACACTAAAAGTGGATTTTTAATGACACTTAACAGGCTATGAAACCCCAGCCGCGGCATTGAATCTTGTACTTTTCTGCCTAGTGAAACAATAGTTATTTGTTTCACTTGTCAGAGAAGTAGAAGATTGACTGCCGCGGCTGACAGTTCATAGCTGAGCGCAGCGAGGCTAGGAATTCATCCAAGGCAGTCAATCTACATTTACTGCCGTGTGAAACATAATTTTTTCTCCAAATGTTATTAAACCCATTTTGTGCAGATTTTTTGTTGAAAACTCTATCATTTTTTGTTCAACTCTTTCTGCCTAGGCAGTAAAAGTACACCTTTAATGCCTGTTAAGTGTCAGAGAAAAACCACTTTCCCTGCCGCTTGGAGAAAAATAACTATTGGAGGTTTATTAAGAATTTGTCAGTCACCAACCACACTGAATTCAATATTATCAAAGCTTATGTACATATCTATATAGGGCGATGATGGAAAAAGGAAAATTATATTTCTGACGTACCTTGTATCTCGAAAACTACTTTTCTTTCCAGTTTTGCGACTAACAAAACTCAGTGGGCTGAGGTTCCTGATTTGGATGTTGTATCATTAGGTAATAGTTACTTATTGATAGTTGTCACTTCTAGTGAGATGATCACTCAAACTATTATGGCGACCGAACAAGAAATTTGTTTACGTTTAAAATAGGAAATGTCCCATTATCTTTCGCGCATTCTGCTGACATACATGGTATATTTAGGTATGGCTGGTAGTAAGTACCTCGTACATCTCATTTTTTGTTCTTTATATGGACGCGTTTGTCACCACTGACATTTCCGAATTCTCACCACTGTCAGATTTGAATCGTCAGTTGTGAAAGTTGAATAGGCATCCCTGAGAATAGTAATTTTCCTAACAAGTGCGGAAAGTGATTCTTTCCCGCACGTGACTGCCGTTGACACGAACGACGCGAAGCGTAGGAAATTGATTGAATCGTTCAATTAATTATTCAAGCAAATAGGAACAACTAACAAGAGATATATATTCTCTATCTATTAATTATTAGTGATAGCTATTGTGAACTTACAGTTTGACGCATTATGTTGGTTCATTGCGGAAGCCAGCAGGTCCATTAGGAGTTTGGTCTCTAGGTTCCAGACACTTCTATGAAATAAGCCAAAAATACCTATTCTTCATTCGGTTTTTTTCATTTCTTTATTGTTGCACCATTCAATAAAACGCGTGTATAGCTTCTCATACCTTTCTTAAGACTTCGTTGGTGATAACGCATCTTATCAAATCCCTATAGGTAGAAGTTTTTGATCACATTGTGGCATTTCCAATGAATCGAAAATGACAGTAACGCTGTGTCTGTCACTTCGATAATTTCAAACTTATTTGAGGTTTGATTGGCATGACAAATTGACGTCTCCCGTCAGATCAATCCAAATCTATAGGGGGATTTTTATAATAATCAATTTTTATTTCATAATATTTCTTAATTTTTACAATGAATAGTGCAATTTGATGGATGATTCTGAACATACATATTTAATACTGCAACAAACAAACTCAAACTTTTATATTCCATCACCAACCACTTATATTACTAGCGATTTTATCATGTCTTTGTTTTCCCCGCACTAGTGCGGGAAAAAATTTCCCGCACTTGTGTGGGAAAATTTTCCTGCACTGTTGCGGGAAAATGACAGTTCCCAAACTAAATTGCGTGCGGGTATAGGGTGAATCACGCACGCTTGTAGAAAAAATGTTTTTCGAATATGTCTTGATGTTCGGTAACGAATCGCAAAAATTCTAAGAATGATAGTTACGGTATATTTGCACTTATCATGCAATGTTTTTTTTCGATTATTTTTTCTGTACTCACGTTATTTTTGTCCCAAAAACTTGAATTTGAAAATGTTGACAAACTACTATTTTTCGAGATATTTCACGAAACAGTTCTAAATTTCACCTACTTTCTCCGCTTGTATTTGGATACGCATTCACTGATTTACAGCTACTTGCTCTTCTTATTTTGTGATAATACTTCAATGACATATTTCATAATGGAAAATCAACAAGAAATATGATTTTCTTATGAAATATGTTTTTTCTGTGACGGGAAAAAAGTTTGGCATTTCATCTCTGTTGGCAGGTTATAAAATGTCACTTTTCATGAATTACTTTTTTCTCGTGGGAAAAAAATGAGTACTTTTTTCCCGGATATATATCACATATATATACATTGTTGATGGCTTTTGTTGTGCTATAATTCCGAAAAACAAGTCAATAATACCGTCTACGAGAAAGAACTGCAAGTCCTTTTATCTTCCATTCGACTTCGCGGTTACGTATATTACTAAAAAACCACTAAATTCGCAATTTTTCGGAATCAAATCACAGAATTGGACGGACAGAAGTGACATCAGATATTTGATTACTTCAAAAGAATGATGAAGATGCCTACAACGCAGGTGTCCCTACTGTTAAAAACTCAAAATTTCACGTCGATAATTTTCAGATTTCAAAATAATGTGATACCTTCACAATATTGATTCGGCCTTTCTTCTGTCACAGAAAAAAATTGTGTATTATACACGGGAAAAATATTAGATTTCAACTCACGGTTTTTTATCTCCCTCCGATACACAACACAACCTGGGGCTAAAATCTACTAATTTTTTTCCTTGTATAATAAATAACTATTGTGTCTCATTGAATTTGTTCAGCTGTTCAAAAACACATTGAGTTCATTATAAAAACATGACAAGCGTGTTCTCACTCTATAAAGAGCG